GCCGCCTGCTGCCTGCCATAAGTCCCCCACGTCGCCTTCTCCCCAACGCCATTCCTTCCAGGAAGCAACGCCAGCAACGCCGTATCCCTGTTCTGGCAGACACTCCCCTGATGGCCCCTGGCTAATGCCGGGTGCTGCAATATCGAAATCACACTACCGCGGGGAGCTTTAGGGTTCCCAGGTAAAAGATGAGCGCCCCAAAAGGACCCCGAAGGTACCGCGACCCAACCGTGCCGCTCAGCCGCCTGCCCGAGCCCTAGTGTCCTATTTCTTTAAAATAAAAGCTTCGAGCCCTACAATTACTGGGATTACAGTGAGCGAGTATTGATCTGCAGCCAACATTGTAGGATCAAGCGGACGGGAGGAGGTAGACGTCGCCGCCCCAGCCCCCCACCACCTCGTCTTCCAAAGCATTAAAAAAAAAAAATTCTAAATATTTGATTTCAGACACACCATCAACACCTGCTGCAAAAGAATGACTACCCCCACCCCCACCCCCAGAGCGGCCACACCTCCTCGCCTCTCCGCCCTTGGGCCTCCCAGGCCCAAGCCAGCTATGCCGCCACCTTCAGTCTTTATTTCTCCCCCCCCCCCTTAATTACTGAGGGAAAAAATACACATAAGCAAAAAAAAAAAAAAAAAAAAAATCTCGGGCAGGCGCGAGAGGGGGTGGTGAGGAGGACGGCGAAGGCGGTAATGCAACCCTAATGCACAGATAGCTGACATCAACTTCCGTCAGGCAGCTCCTGGAGATCGAACCTTTCGATTGTAACTGGGACAATTTGCATAGTGATTCCCTTTCAGAGCTTTCCCGGGTCCATAACTAGCCCAGGCAGCTATTCAAATGCAAGTTGCATCCCCCAAATGCAAGGCTGGCCTGACCAAAAAGAGCCACACGGCGCCGGGAGAGGAGAGACTCGCGCCACGGTTCTCATCCTTCTCTTTTCTCCTTCCTTCTCCCTTTCTCTTCTCCGGTTCCTGATTTAGCTGGGAGCTATTTATTTATGACTACTAATGTGTGTGCGCGAGCCAGAGAGAGAGGGAGGGAACTGATCTTTGCTTGGACTTAAAGATGGAGACGAAGGAGCCGGAGGGAATTTGGGTCTGTGTGTCTGGCTCAGACCCTAGGCGCTGAGGGGGGCCGTTGGGCATCAAGCCAAGGGTCTTTCTTCTCGGCGCCCCTTATTCCGCGACCTGGCAGGAATCCGTGGGCCGAAGAGCGCCCCGGCTGATCCGCCTGCCCCGGGCCGGGCTACAAGGAAAGTCATGGAGCAGGGGGCCGTCCCGTCCCTGTCTTTAAAATGAGCGCAATAAAAGGTATTACCTGCTACGTGTGCTGATTACTTTCTCCTGCTCTGCACTGGGCGGAGAGGGATTGATTTATAATTTCCGGGCAGAGGGAGGAATTGTGGGCTTAAAATTCTGTTCCCCGTTTTCCTATTTCTTATTTGAAATTATGCAAATTGACTCTCGTTTCCCTCCCTCCTAGGGGGCAAATCCTCGAACGCGAACCTGATCGCATGTCACAGAAGCAACTTGCCATGAAATCCGCTAATGCGCCGCGACTCGCCCACCAGGGTAAGCCAGTCTCAAGGCGTATGTGGCGGTAGGGGGAGGAAAAGAAGGGGACGATAGGCCGGAGCAGACTCCAGGGGCCTGGCCACTCTGGTCCACTGCTGAGCTTGTGGCAACACACACACACACACACACACACAAAAAAAAAAAAAAAAAAAAAAGGTAGAAGCCACTGGCGGAGGGCAACGCCAGCGTCACCGCTGGAGAGCTGAGCGGGGGCGGCTCCCTCCCAGCCTGCCTGCCCGTCCACGGCAGGTAACAAACGGGTCCTCCCTGGGAGTTTAAAGTGGCAAATGAGAGTGGAGACCGGCCCTCTGAGTAGGGTGTAAATAACACGGGCGTGCCCCGCGCTGGTGGCGGGTACGCCAGCTAGAGTCTCCGGTTTGTGCGAGGTTCTCCCTCTAGGCAGCGTGCGGTGGCTAAACGAACCTGTTTCTCAGACAGCCCTGTAAGAAACCAAGCCATCTCGATTCACTTACTGGGGAATATCCCCAAATTGAAACTTTTCTGCACTTCCCTAGTCTAGCTCACTGTTTTTAAATTTCCCTCTTGCTCGATGTCTCTCCAAATCCAACCCAAACCCGCTAAAGATGATCACAGGCCACTGATCTTGCAGAACTGACCGTGAACTCGGTGGCACAACCAGCTCCTCTAGTCAGAGGAAATTAAAGCGGTGGCTAAATTCGTATGTTTTGCTTTATGTGGTGAGCAAAATGTAGGGTTTTGTTTTTTTAAGCCTTCTGAAGCAGTCAAACACATTTTCAAATGTTCTTTATTTATATCGGTTCTGGTGCTGGGAGCTGTCTGGGAATGAGCTTTTTCATTGTGCCTTTTTTTTAAAGTCTTGGTATCTTTTAATATGTAATGTTTCTCTGATCATTTCACAATAAGCATTCTAACGACAAGATAAATAAGAGAGCAGTTGGGATCATACGGTGAGAAAAGCAGAGTGGATAGGACAAATAAACCCAATATAAAATGAAAACAAATTGAGCAGATGAAATTATTATGTAAGGAGATGGGGGAATTAGTTTATCAGAAAAAAAATGAGTTTATGGCCTGAAGTTTCCAGATTTTGATAGCAACACAAACCAAATCAAAAGGAATTAAATATTTTCCTTTGCCCCTATATGTACAACCAAAGAACACAGGCCCTCATGGCCATCTTGATCAAATGCACGTTTTGAGGCATTTCAAAAGACAATTCAGCTTTGGGACATTTGCATACATTTTTGGTAAACTACAATCAATTAGGTGACATTTCATCCTGGTGGAAAACAATTTAAAATTTATTTCTGCCTTTAGGAAGAGAAGAAATGGAGCCCTTGCAGTTAAATTATTACTGGCTTCTACAGGGTTAATTTGATGCAAATAATTTACTCTCCTATCAACATTGAAGGAAAAGGTAGTGGCCGTGGAACAGGAAGAGCCAGTCAGGTAGTGACAAAACTCTGCCTCTGGGTTCTGAAGAAGGTATCGGGAGGCTCTGAACTTAGCTTTGGGTTTGTTGCACCGCATTCGCTCTCTTAAAACAGTAACTCAAGATGTAAGTAAAAGTGTTTTCATTTTTTATTGATCCCACTAACATCTTTCATTATCCAGCATGTAGCCACAGCAAATTATTGCTCATTTGATACCAAGAATTCTATTGACCATCGCTTTCGTTGGAGAGAGAATTCTAACTACTAGCTGCTCTGTAGTCAGTCAGAGCTGAGGCTGAGAACACTACACAGCTAAAACAAGTAAATTGAGCCCTCTGCCTCCAGGAATTGATGGAGATGTGTTCATTACATTGGGCCACGTGAACATGCATAGAAATCTGCTTTTTGCTCTGCCAGTCGGCATTGCCCTCATGCAATCAAAAGGTCGGCCCCTTTGGAACAGAACTGTCTAATTGGAGGGCTGGACATTCGTTTGCCTCTCCTGTATCCCTTCTGGCAACTTCTTTTCAGTTCTGGCCAGGTTGGGCAATGAAATGATGCATTAGAAGATACCAAATGTGGACACAATTATTAAAACCGTGCTTCCTTTAAAGAAAAAAAAAACACTTCCTAAAATGTCTAGATGAGTGACTTTATGTAGTCACTCATAATTTCCTAAATAAAATTGCTCCATTCCCACCCCCTCAAAACTCCACGTCATTAGATACAGGCTAAATTGTCTGGGGACTGGGAAGCTCTAAGATCTGTGTCTGTTCTCCCTGGTCGGCAATGGGCATCCAGCCTCAATTACAGGGGAGACCGCTCCAGCGCTTGCTTCAGCCAGTGGTACGGAGAAGTCTGTGTGCCTAGAGAAGGCCTGACCTTCGACCCTCCAGGCTGGAGAGGGAGGTTCTCGGTTGAAGATGCAGGAGAAAGGATCTGATAGAGCAATGGAAGAGGCCAGGTTTGTTCCCTTAGAAGCTAATGGCAGAACCTGTCTTCACGATGAAAGGAGCTAGTGCTGCCCCACAGCAAGAACCGGACACCTGGACCTTGGGGCGTCTTCACCATCTCCAAGGCGGCCTAGACAGACTTTTCTGTAGGGATCAACACGTCCTCCATTCAGGCGTCTGAGGGAAAGGCAAAGGACTCTGGGGGTGCATTGGCCCGAACAAGACAGGTGCAAAAACAGAAATTCAAGCCTGTTTGGATGGGGAAGAGAGGGACGCTGTCAGATTTCCAAGAAACCAAGGATCCACATCTATTTCTCCTTAAGCCCTTGATCCAATAGGAGAGCAAGATAACCTTGGAGAAGCCATGCCCGTGGAGATTCCTCGGAGGAGATGGTTGGGTGTCATTTCCACAACTACCAGGAGATAAGCCTTCTCAGTTGGGTTCCAGAACAAAAAGGAGGACCAATTACTGATTCCACAAATGAATCCTGGCATGTGTATCCCGCAAACAGCGTCAATTCTCAATTGGAAGGTGCATTTAGGGGATCTAAGGAACCCAGCTTTGTATTATTTTCCTAATGATGCTGTTACATGTGTGTGAAACCACTGGCACTCTCGTGGACCACGCTCCATAACCTTTCATGGTCAGGGAGCCACTTTGTTCCAGTGTGGGCAGTGAACTAGTGAGAGTGTGTGCTTCACATGCAGGATGCTCACCCGAGAGTAGTAGAGTAGATTCTGAATTGGTTTGAGGATGATGGGAAATGTAAGATGAAATATACACTGTGGTTTTTTTGTCTTTTCTTTTTTAGTTTTTCTGTTTTGTTTTTAATGAAGATAAATAACCTTGGGCTCAGGTGTAATCAATCCTCCCAAACACAGTGATATTCCTAGAATGTGCACATCACCCATAACACTTGAAGATTCCTGCCCAAAGGTTTTGGAAACCCCTTTTCTGGATTCCAGCCCAGATTCTGAAAACCTCTCAAGCCTCCGGGGGAAGAGAACTCATCCCACGAAGCAGCTGAAACTACACACTCAAAAGCACACACAGGGGTCTAAGGCTGGATGCTATCAGGAAGGCCAGCAGAGCTAACCACAAAGTGTATGACTCTACTGGAAACCAGAAACCAATAAGTCAGCAACACTCTAAAGTCATTTTGGGGAACAAGACCTGGAACTTGAGTTTGAGTTGAAAAGTTAGGGACAAGGGACAGATCACCCAGCATTTCTCTGGAACAAGGCAAACTGAGAACTAACCAGCTGCACTGGCATTGCAGCAAATTAGAGATTAGGAAATTTATTTCCCTCCTACATACAATAAGACACAAATCCTTCAACCTGGAGCTCACCTCTGTGCAGGGAGCATCCGGCTCCCCACATTGCACTTTCCAAGTGGCCCACTAGCCTTCTCCAGGTTTTGCCAGGCAAATGAAGCAAGAAGTACTCGATAGTAAATTATTTTGTTCAGGCTTCTGTCTTTTTATGAAAATAAAAGCCAACACTTTGTCATTTTTAATCACATAAGCAGACAATAAATCTAATTTTGATATTGATTTTTTTCCAGAATCAAGTGATTTTTTGCAGTGTCTGTTGTGTTTCCTTTCTGAAGAAGGGCCTTGTGTTTGAGATGGTGCGGCAATGAGACTGAGTCTATGCAGCCAGAGCCTTTCTGAAACACATAGTTGATGGCGGACTTTGAAAGCAGATAGCTGAGAAGATTTTTCTCGCGTGGCAGGAAGCTTCATTTTTCTCTAATTATCTAAATAACAGTTTCAACTTAGCCACTCCTGGCAAAGACAGTTAAGGCTTGACTGGTGCTTTCAGTGATTAAGGCCTCTGAGATGAACTTTATTTTAAATTTTTTAGTAAAATCAAGTAAATAAAAACAATAACCCCAAAATATGAAGCTGTCAGAGGCCTACACCACGGCACTGTGGAGAATTAGCCAGAAAAGCTGTCCCCACCCCACACAGATGACAAGCCCCAGACTTCAGACCTGGGTCACTGGAACATGGATAGTAGTAGCAAAGACCTAGCTGAGAAGCACTGTGGAAGCCAGTTACAGCAAAGTCGCAGTGGCTCACCTGAGCCTCCTTAGTCTCTCTCCTTTTTCAAAAACAAGATTAGTTTATGTTGATGCCAAATGAAGCCAGCACTTTTCATATGAAAGTACAGATGTACAAAGATCTGCACCAGACCCCACCTAGAGAAGGAGAGGGAAGGAATAAAGAACAAAGTTAGAAGTAAAGAATAAGAACAATATGGAGAAAGGGGGGAGGAAATAAGAAAAGTGGAGAAGGAAGGAAAGAAGGGAAAAATGAAAAGGAAGAAGTGAGGAGACAGAAAGGGAAGGGAAGAGAAGTGGAAAAAGCCGGGGAGAGATGGAAGGCTGGTGAAGAGGAAGGAAAGAAGAGGAGAGACAGAGAGAGAAATTTAAAAGTATATAATGAAGAAAAGTGCAAATTTGTCCAGTCTATGAGAAGGAAAGTGAGATTGCCCCTATCTACCTGAGCCTTTTCTTGCAGCTCCCGAACGCCCCTCCTCCCTTCCTACTGGAATCCAAAAACTTAGGTCTGGCCTCTCTGTGCTGCCAGAAGGGGACTACCAATACCTACACAAGCTTCTCCAGCACCGTTCCATTGCTACCAGGGGTCGACCCCTCTACGACTCAGATGGTAGAGGACCCTGGCTGGGGGAAGGGACCAGACGGCTCTACGCCCAGCGGAGGGGGGATGGGACCTGGGCCTGCGATTGACCCTCGGGCTCTGACCTTTCCCGCCGTCCTCTAGGGTCAGGATTTAACCTTTCGCTTCCCCACTCTGAGCCCTCCTCCTTCTCAGTGGCCCTCGGCTAGAGGGGAGGAGAGAGTGGGTCGATATTTGGGGCTGGCAGGGAGGGGGGCCGGCGCCTGTGCCGAATTACTGGAGGATGGGGCTTAGACCAGAGAATCCATTCTCTCCACCCGCAGGAACGCCGAGCCTAGCGGATCCCGCGCTTGCCGAGAGCCGGATGCCAAAGCCCATTAAACTTGGGGCCTGGTAAAGAACCCGCTAAGACACGGGGAAGGAGAACAAGCTTTTCCCTCAGTTTTTCCGCCCCGTCTAGAACCATTTCTCTTCGTATAAAGCCCTTCCTCTCCTGCTCAGGAAACGGCCACTAGTTTGCATTTGGGAGAATCCCGAGAACCTTAGCCAGATGGGCAGGAGGCAACAGTGCAGACCCGGACCAGGGTCCCCCCCGGCACGGTCAAAGCATTAGACGTCCCTCTGGGGGCAGGTGCCTAGAGAACCAATAGAGAAATCGGGCCAAAGTCCCAAGCCGCTGGGCCCCACTGACCTTGCTACCTGTCCCTGCCCAGACTGTAGAGGGACAAGCCTCCCGCCAGCCCTATTCCGCCAACTTCCAAACGCTTCAGCGACCGGCGCCCCAGAAGGCTCTCCCCGCGGGAACCAAGGCAGAGGGAGCAAACCGGAGGCTGCTGAGGCCGCCGGAGAGACCCTGGCTCCCCAGTTCCGCGTGGCTTGGGGTTTTCGCGGTCTCCCCAGCTGGAGCCAGGGCCGCCAGGAGCCAAGAGCGTTAGGTTCAAATGCATCAAAGCTCTGAAGTCATTTATCCGGTTTCATAAATAATTTTCTTATTACACTTAAGCCCGATCCCTGCCCCCTTCCCGTTTTTATTGCGGGGTTTCAGTGGCTAAAAAGTTTCTAAGTCGGGTGGGCCGTTGTTTTCCTTTTTCCATCATTAACATCATTAATATAAGCTATCAATAACCCTGTCGTTGGGAGCCGAGTTTCACGGTATTGATCCACGCAGCTATTCATCTCTGCCATGCAAGACACGGAATAATTTTCGCATTACAGTAGCTTGGATTTGCTTTTAATTCATATTTAAAGCTGCAACCGGCTCAGTGGAGCGCTCTGCGAAAGACTAGAGGCGCCTAATTAATAATAAGTTAGAAACGAAGGAAGGCACCGGCGAATAAATAATTAATACAGACATCTATGTCTCTTTGAATATTGCTCCTTTAAAAATTTAGACTTACCAGGACTATACTGTAAGTCTGCAATTTATATTGCGGGGATGATTTAAGAAAGCTATTTTTCCCTTGAAATACAATAGTAAATAATTTAGTGTTTTGCAAACCTAAGTTTCTTCATTGGCCAGCTCTTCTGGTTTGTTTCTTCCAGGTGGAAAACACCATTTTTTAAAATAGTCATAATAAGATTCATAAATATCCAACCATAACCACCAGATTCATTTCAGATGGCTAGAATGGGAGCAAGATGGCTTAAAAGCCCAGTTTAGGGTATCCTGCCCTGGAGAGGTGCTGGGGTTGCCACATATAAGGTGGGGTTTTGTTAGGGAGAAAACAACAACAACAAAATAGTCACTGGCCAGTGACTTTAGGCTTTCGCTTGTGTTGGAGGGAACAGAGTTTGAAGTAAAACCCAGGGTCTTCAAAAGATGCCAGGAGAGAAAAAGCTGGGATTTAGAGGATCCCTGATTTCCTCCATGGCAAAAGCGAAATCGGAATCTTTAGAGAAGGGCTCTTAAGACAGGATTGTATTCCAGGATAGTCAGGATCTACCTGTGGGCTAGAGGCAAATAACAAAATTCAAGGAGGTAGGAGTGACTGAAAACCCTTGGAGGTTTTTGTGTGAGACTAGGATTTGTTTGCAGTGTTGTTAGCAATATTGATTTTTTTGTTACTCGGATTAATGTATGTTAAACAGGAAAATACAGGCAGTAGTCAAGTGTATTATAATCATCTATTGTTTAGAGTTGAAGTTTCACTGTGTGGACGATGGTGCATTTGGACTGAGAGGCAATTCCAGGTATCTCCAAATGTTCTAGGTTCCGTGCAGCAGAACCCCCAAGAGGACTGGCAGTGGGGCGTGAGGGGGAGCTAAACCTGCAGTTCAGTAGCCTTCTCCCCCTTTAAAATTACAACCTCACCTATAACCAACCCACTATCTGAAAGTATCAGCCTCCACCCTGGACCTCCCTGGTCCTCTAAATTAATTTAAGAACTAAAGGATGCAGGTGTTCCTGTCCATCAGGGTCTCCAAAAGCTCTTCAACCTAAAACCCAGATTCCCCGCAGCCCCACAGCCCCACCACCAGGTCTCTTGGCCCTAATGACCATCCAGCCAACCTCTGGGACTTCCTTTCAGGGCCGGACACTTCCTCAGCAAAGCATTGGAGGCCTGCGAGCCGGGCATGGCGCACTGCTGTCCTGCCTACATACAGATACAGGCCCACACGTGTTAGGCCTGAAAAAGACACCGGACCGGGAGGAAAACTCAGGAACAGCTATTCGGGCGCTCCTGGAGACCCTCCCGCCTGGACCCTTGGAACCTCAGAGAACCTCAGAGAAGACAGTCCCCTCCCCCTCTACTCCCCCACCCTCACCCTCCCCGCCCCCTCACAACAGCTGTGCTTTTGGGGCGCTCTGCTCGTGATAGTCCACAGGTCCCACGTCCCTGCCCAGCATTGGCGCGTTAGAGATCAGTCTGTGTACTCTCAGCTTTTCCTCCTAACCCCACTCCCGAGCCCTGGGTCACCGCATTTATGCCACAAGACCCCGAAAAGCTCTCATGCACAAAAACTAAAGGACTCTAACATGATCCCTCGAGTATCGGGCTAGTTCAGGAAGGAGCAAGCCGAGCAGGGTCTGGGGAAAATACAACTGGACGCTTGGAGACTCCATAATCCTATGCCTGAACGGCTCTCAGGCCAGAGGGCAGGTGCACTTGCCCTGAGCCCCGGGTCCGAAACACGGGGGCTGGTTGTTGTGCCAGCCGGGAGGCGGAGGGAAGCAGAGGAGGTGGACAAGAAGCGGAAGGCCGATCGGGTGGGAAGGGCAAGAAAAGAAGGTAAAGTATCAGAAGGCAAGTGTGAGAGATGAAGAGGGAAGGGAAAAGACTTGGGAGAAAGCAAGAAAAGGCCGGGGTCCAGCCCCAGCAGGCCCCAGGAGAGAGACACAGGCAAGGGGTGAGGAAACCAGAACACCAGCGTTTTATTTTTAAATCTTCTAGGTGTCTGCGGGTCAAATAAAGACAAGGGCGGTAACGATTATTCTGTTAAATCTATGGTACTTGACTGCGCAAACACTAATTGATTAGACACCAAAATGATTTGTTTAAAGAGTTTTCCTCCCCAAGTGCAGCTGCTCTCAGGTCCAGGTCGGCATTACCCCGCGAGACTGCGGAGGAGTTCGCCAAGTGGGCCCGGCGCCCCGCCACCTAGCCCGCAATCTGTGTAGGGTCGGGTGGCTGGTCCACGCTCAATAGGCCTGAGGGTACAGGCTGGACGGCATCCCGTGACTTCTGCTCTTAGGGACCACCTCGAAGGGATTTTGCTACACCCGCCTCCTCTAAATTGCACCGAGGAGGAGCCCCCTCTCTTCCCTCTCTCCTTTCCAGTCCCCAGCCTTGGAAGTCAACACCTGCCCGTGGTTAATTCGGCGTACTGTCCCCCAAAAGTGGAAGCATCGAAAGAACAGCATTTCCGGCGGTCTAAAGACTGGAAAATTCACCGCCCCGGAGGCGTGGGTAGGTTCCCTTTGTAATATTCTTCAACGTTGTAAAGTGACCAAGAAAGAAAATCCGTGAAGGGTTGACGGTTGGCCAACTTCTCCAGAATCGCGCCGGTTGCGACTAGCACAGTCCTGTGGCCAGAGAGTCACCTAGGAACCTGGACCCCCTCCTTCATGCTCAGGACGTCAGGACACCCACTCTTCCTTCAGCGCTCTTGGTTCGAAGCCTTGAAAAGCTCTCGCCAGAGTGGATGACTGCCGGAACGGGATTTCAACCCAGGTGGACGCTGCCTCCAGTTCAGCTAGGGAACCTAGAAAGGGGAGCGGTTTGCTTCCTGCACCCAGGAGGTAACAGACACACCAGGAGTGGTCTGATGTTCCAGGATGGCCACTCAGGTGGCTCTTGGTAGGTCTGGAATTTCTAGGGTTGGCATGAGCTGACAGCCTTTCAGCAGAGTATCCTCTCTTTGGGATTTGGAGTTACGAGTAGAGTAAGTTGAAACAAAGAAAAGTGCGAAAATGCCGAATTTTTAAAAATTCACGCGTGAAAACCGAATTTAAGAAGGAAAAAGTAGGGGAGAAGTTAACGAAAAGGTGAATAAAAACTATAGACAAAAAGATGATCAAAGATTGAAAAAGAAGGCCAGGATAATTGGTAACTTCCTTGTCCCAGAGTGAGGGTCACTATTTTTTTTTTCCTCTCAGTGTTGGAAATTGAACCCAGGGCCTGGAACCTAGTATCTTTCTATAACTGAGCTACACCCTCAGCCCAGTAACTTGGTTTTTGTGTTTTAAAAAATTATTTTCAATAGCAAATCACCAATCCAGTCCCTTCTATGTTTCTTGATAATTCTATTCTAAGCCAATAGTAATTTTCTGAATGAAATTTCTCCAGAGATGGGAGGACTCCCGAGGAAGACAGGAGAGCCCAATGGGAAGCACCCAGGATCAAATCCTTCACCCCCAGCTATCAAGTGCTTTATTGTAGTTAGATATCAAGGAAATGGTTCCACACCAGCAGTTTAATTCTAGACTGAATGTAGTCATCAGAAATGATGATGAATTCCATTCTGAGGCTCTAGCCAAGGAGTGGGTCTTCCCCTGGGACCTTGGAGATATTTGCTCTGACACCCAGGATTGCTGTTTGTGATACCAAAAAATGAAAAGTACATGTTTGATGGCTCAGGGGGGTCTAGAAACATTTATTTGGAATGGTCCTGAAGACTGGGAAATAATCCTGTATTACACCTCTACTACTCACAAAGAAAAATAAAGTATTAACTTTGAAACCAATAGGAGCTTCTCAGAGAACTTTGTGTGGTCAGCATTTCGAAAAATGGGCTTCTTCTTTTAATTTTTTAAGCCTGATGGGGTTGCCTGGAGGGTTGCCTGGCAAGCTGTAGAGCATCCAGCATGAGAGTGTACCTGCTCGTCCCATCCCCCCAGGCTCTTCTTCTGACATTTACAAAATAAATATTTTGAAATCCTTGTTTCTAAACTGAAAATATTGCCAGCAACAAGTATCAAGTCAATAGTTTTATTTTCCTTTTTTAGAAAACATATATACTTGTAGTAATTTTCTGATGTTGATTAGCACTTTTTTTCTTTAAATTTCCTGCAGCTACTCAAAATCTAAGTATCTAATTATAAGCCTTCCTCTCAATCACATTCATTGACCTCCAAGTATCAAAGAACTCTCCCTTGTACTGTAATTCCCTCCTTCTCCATACTGCATCTAATGTGGACGAGGCATTGTGTGGGGCAGATGGAAAAGAAGGGGGGGGGGAATGACAAAAAAAAAATGATCTCAGCCCTCCCACAGTTGGCAATCTATCTAGTGCCTCTCCATCCCCACACATGCACTCACCTTAACTAGGCCTGAGAAGAGCACCCTTCCTACCCATCATACATTCTTAGTAAATTGGAGTTTTGTAAGAGGTCAAGGAAGAAAAATATTCTGACTGAGATCACTGCAACTCATCAACTGCAGGAAGACAGTGGTTAAATAAAAGGTGTGAATAGCCAAGAAAAATGAGGGAGATTCACAGACCCAAGCAAGTCCTTCACAGGCATTTTGGGAGTAGGGGGAGTACCAGGGATTGAACTCTGAGGACTCAACCACTGAGCCACATCCCCAGCCCTTTTTTGTATTTTATTTAAAGACAGGGTCTCACTGAGTTGCTTGGTGCCTCACCAGTTGCTGAGGCTGGCTGTGAACTTGAGATCCTCCTGCCTCAGCCTCCTGAGCCATTTTTGAAAATGTTTTAGGAAAAGTGTGAAATATTGAACTAAGCAAGGCCAACACATACTTGCCCAGATTTTTCCCTTCACTTCCCCTTAAGTGATCAACATCAAAACAGGCCCCCTTTTCAAAAGTCCCTTTGTGGATGGGTGAAGTCAAGCTCACCTGATCCAAGCCCCCTTAAGGTGGCCACCAGGGGATCAGCTAGGAGCCTCACAAGGAGGGTTTCCAAGATCAAGCCCCTAATTAGCTACACAAAGAGAAAACCATGAACAATTTGTGTACTTGGTGGTATTTACTTCTTTCTTTTAACACACTGCCTTTTGGGATGAGAGTTGTCATAAGGGCAATCTGTAGGATTAAAATATGGGAGGGGGTGACAGTTTAGCTCAAAGGCTGCCTGCTATTTTAACCCATTGTTTGGGCTCATATGCAAGGCCAATGTTCTATGCTATAAGAAAAGAGAGCAGAAACAATATTTTTAAAAAAGCTTCCCACCAACAAACTGTGATGTACTAGACAACAAATGTATTATGCTTGTGTATATATGTGTATGAACAGGTAGATATAGATATGTTGAAATAGAGTGATTGTTTTTCTGAGTTTATTTTGGCCAGTGTATTTTTCCCAAAGGGCTTTTCCTGGCCAGGGGAGGAGGGATATTCCTCAATGTTCACTGAGCAAGTAGAAATGATGTCCACTGAGATGAGCCCCCATTTTCAGGGCCTCCACAGAAATTGCTGGGATAGGATGAGATTGTTTCTGGGACAGCCATATTAACCAGCCCCAGAACAAGGCATTTTCAAGGAAGTCAAACTGACTGTGCCCACTGACTGTGACCTACCTGAATCATGATGTTGGCCTGTGGTGGGTGGAACCTAGGCAAGGAGATGGACCTGACTAGTTCCTACCCTAGCTGATGGGTACTTCCCTAAAGGTTGTCCAGCTGAAACTTTCTTATTGGAAGCTCAACCACCACCATGATACCAACTCAGCCCTGGCCTCTTCAAGGGTCTGGGAACATTTACAGTGGAAACACCGGTGGTGAATTTCAGCCCGGTGTCTCAGCAAACAAACCTATGATTTGAGTTTGTTGAGTTTGGCCTAGTACAAGCCACACACAAACTTTATTTTGTATCTAGGCCCAGATACCCTGGCTCTGAGAATCTGTCCCCATTGTGAACACAGCTCGCCCGCGGCTGAGGCTCGGCGCTGACCCGGCCATAACTGCCAAGGGCCGGACAATGGGCACATCTGTCCTTTCTCCGAGGGATGAAAGCACCTAAGCGGACACGGCTCTGCCTTTTGTTACGGATTTTTTTTTTCTTTTCTTTTGTAAATGAAAGAAAGCCGCGGCATGTGGCGGCCGGGTGTACATCCCACACTGGGGGCTTCTCCACGCGTCCAGACCTAAGAACCAGGTTTGATTCCGTATTGGAACATGACAGTGGAAAGGGCAAAATTACGTCCGAAGCTGAATTAATTTTCAACCGGAGGCTTCTTCAGGGACGCTGGGAAAGGGGCGTCCCTACGGGCCAAGCGGAGACCCGCGTGGCAGCGTTTACCCGGCCTATGTCAGTACTTTTCACAAGCAGCGGCCTCTGGGTGCTTTACCAGGAGAGCTTCGGAGGCAACCCTACCAACCGCCCGAGCCTTGGCGGCCCCCTCAGCACCGGAAGTTAACAGGGGAACCCACCAGGGCACTCCTACCCTCCTCCTTCCCCCTCCCCTCTGAGTCACTGGTGAAGCGGGCGTGCAGCCTTAATTATGAGCTGCGCGGAAGAAGGACACAGGCGGCTAGGGACAGCGAGGTATGGACTCTTGGCACTTAATGCTCCTTCCCCAGGGCACGGGTAAGGAAGGGCGGGCAGAGGAGTGTCTGGGAGGATGAAGGATGCCTGGTCAACAGCTGCCAACCTGACCGAGACCTTTAAGATATTTAGGGTTCCCTTCTCCAATAGGCGAACATTTATAAGGGTGCAGAAAGCGCCAACTTACAGCATCTCTCCGGGAAATAGAGCTTAGTGGGCCTGGGTGAAAGGAGTGATGACACAATCCCCAGCTTCCCGGGCAACCTTCCCCGGGAAGCAGCAACTATCGAGAGAAGAGCAAAGCTCCGAGCATAGCGAGCCAACCGTGGTAGGAGCCTGGCAGAAGCGTCCTGGGGCTAGAAGGAAAGAGCTCACCAGTGCAAGGGAGGCGAGCGGGAAGCAAGTCTCCCGAGATTGCGGCGGCGGCCCCAGGACGCGCTCCGCCCCAGTTCATTGCACGTGCCCACCGCTTCCAGGCCATCCGGCGCCGCTGGAAAGGCGCAAGACCACCCCCTCCCCACTTCATTTGTACGGGGACTTCAGGGGCTGGGATCGCGGGGACTCAGGGGGCGGGGCCGAGCCGTACGCATGCGCAGTACGACCGGTAGGCGTGAGGGCGGGCCGCTGCAGCGGCGGCGGCGACTGAACCGCGGCCAGAGAGTCTGCAACAGTAACCGAGCCATGGCTCGAGCTGGCGAGCGGCGCGGGCAGGCAGCAGCCGTGGCAGGCGCGCCGGTCGCGTCAGGGGAGCCGGGGACCTCACAATTCTAAGAAAAGGGGCGAGAGGGGACCAGGGCTAGGCGGGCTGGTGGCATCGCGCTCTCCCAACAACGCGGATCCTTTTTGGAAATTAATATTTTTTAAAAGCGGAGGACGCAGAGGGGAAGGTGGGGTTGAGAGGAAAGGAGACATACACACACATACACACGCGTACACACACACACACACACACACACATACACACACTCATACAGACCCACAGTGAGAGGAAGGAAGAAAGGCTACAGTCGCTGGCAGCCAATGTGAAGACCGGACTCCGTGCGCTCCTCGCAGCCTCTGCCCGGCCACATCGATGTTGTGTCCGCCGCCCGCTCGCCGGGATCACGATGAACGCGCAGCTGACCATGGAGGCGATCGGCGAGCTGCACGGGGTGAGCCATGAGCCGGTGCCCGCCCCTGCCGACCTACTGGGCGGCAGTCCCCACGCGCGCAGCTCTGTGGCACACCGTAGCAGCCACCTGCCTCCCGCGCACCCGCGCTCCATGGGCATGGCGTCCCTCCTGGACGGCGGCGGCGGAGGCAGCGATTACCACCATCACCACCGAGCCCCTGAGCACAGCCTGGCTGGTCCCCTGCACCCCACTATGACCATGGCCTGCGAGACTCCCCCAGGTATGAGCATGCCCACCACCTACACCACCTTAACCCCTCTTCAGCCGCTGCCGCCCATCTCCACCGTATCGGACAAATTCCCCCACCATCACCACCACCACCATCATCACCACCACCCGCACCACCACCAGCGTCTGGCGGGCAACGTGAGCGGTAGCTTCACACTCATGCGGGACGAGCGCGGGCTGGCCTCCATGAATAACCTCTATACCCCCTACCACAAGGACGTGGCTGGAATGGGCCAGAGCCTCTCGCCCCTCTCCGGCTCGGGTCTGGGCAGCATCCACAACTCCCAGCAAGGGCTTCCCCACTATGCCCACCCCGGAGCTGCCATGCCCACCGACAAGATGCTCACCCCCAACGGCTTCGAAGCCCACCACCCGGCCATGCTCGGCCGCCACGGGGAGCAGCATCTCACGCCCACCTCGGCTGGCATGGTGCCCATCAATGGCCTTCCTCCGCACCACCCCCATGCCCACCTGAACGCCCAGGGCCACGGACAGCTCCTGGGAACGGCCCGAGAGCCCAACCCTTCGGTGACCGGCGCGCAGGTCAGCAATGGAAGTAATTCAGGGCAGATGGAAGAGATCAATACCAAAGAGGTGGCGCAGCGTATCACCACCGAGCTCAAACGCTACAGCATCCCACAGGCCATCTTCGCGCAGAGGGTGCTCTGCCGCTCCCAGGGGACCCTCTCGGACCTGCTGCGCAACCCCAAACCCTGGAGCAAACTCAAGTCCGGCCGAGAGACCTTCCGGAGGATGTGGAAGTGGCTTCAGGAACCCGAGTTCCAGCGAATGTCCGCGCTCCGCTTAGCAGGTGAGCGGGCCAAAGAGCTTGGCGCGTAAGCGAGATAAGGGACTTGGAAACTCAAGGGCCTGAAGGTGGGAGGGAAAGAGTAGGCAGAGCTTTCATCCTTCCCTCTCCTTAGAAGGGGTCCCTGGGCCTGGAAGAGCCAGCACACGGCTTCGGAAGCAGATTACCTCCTTCAGGGTTTAGTGCAATGGGCTGTGGAAGGCCCTGGGAGCTAAGCTGCAGCGGCCTCGGTGACTCTAGGGGCGCATTTGTGCTGTGGACCGCGCTGGAGGGTCACACAGCCGGAGGAATCTTCGAACCTGTTAGCACACAGTCTGTGCATAGCTTCTCAGCTGAGCACTCCGGGTTTGATAAGTGGGGTCGGGGACACGCGTGTCTGGAACTGCGCTTAGGTGCTCCCTTTCAGTACCCTCAAGTGCATATTCGGGCGCTGGGCTGGAGCTTGCCAGCTGCCAGTAAAGGTTTGGCTGAACTCGCTGCGGCGACCCCTTCCTGGGCTCATTTGGCACCAGTAAGGCTCCGGAGAACCGCACTTTTAAGAGTGCGGGCAAACCGTTCCCAAGTTATGGAGCGGAGTGTGTGCAGAGGGGACGCGTCGGAAAAGTTGGTACACACTGAGTGTGGAACCGACGGTGGAAAGGAGAGGGAGGAAGGCAGACAGTACCGAGATCCAGGTGAGAACGGCAGAGCAATAAGGGAGCTCGCAGCGAAGGCCAGGGGCCACCTTCGCTTGCATTTTTTACAAAAAGACTTGGCATTTTGTTTTATTCCTCTTAGTGACTTTCAGTCTGAATCCCAGCGCAGGAGGGTGGGAGTATGTAAATGACCCCCAAGTCTGCAAGCAAAGGTCTTCTGGGCCCAAATCCCAAGCCGGCTGTTTTGTAGTTAAGCGGTAAGGTCTCGGTGGCGCTGCGTGGACAGCGCGCCTGGCTCCCCTAGACTGCAGATAGGCCGAGGAGACAGCTGAACCCAGCCGGAGCCGCACCGGGGATTTCGGGCGGATTCGGCGACCTCTGAAGACCGAGGACACGAGGGGAGATAGAGCCAAGGGCACCCGAGGGCAGACTGGGTTTAATGAGACCGGGGCGGAGGTTGCCAAGTTGATTGACTCCTGTGTCCATGCCCCCCCAACCCCGCCCCGCGCGCGCAACTCAGCTTGGCGCCGGGGCCTGAGCCTTGGCGAAGAGAAAGGTAAAAGCCGGAATGAGGGTTTGTTAATTAACTGATCGTTCTCCATTAATTCGTCCCTGGAGAACGAGAGACAGTCAATCCGCTCTGAGCCGGGGGCACTGAGCCGTTTCACAGTCTAAAATCAAAGCGTAAAGCCGAAACCCCCTCCCCCCATCTCGTGCCTGCCAATAAGAAGCTAGAGGGAGGCAGGTGCGAGTGAGCTTGAGATTCGAGCCTTGAAGCGACCCAAAGCGTTCCTTGGGTCTGGGCGCTTGAGGTCTTCGGTCCGGAGCACCAAGACTGAGCCTCTGTCCTGTGGGGTTTTCAAGCCTAGTTTGGCCTTCGCCAAGCGACGTTTTCTGGCATATTCCTGCTGCCTGCAGCTGGAAACCAGGCGAGGCAGCAGGTAAGGAGACCGAAGGGAGAGGCTGACGGAGTATCTCAGCGAATCCTGGGCTCCGGTGTTTCCACTCTCTAGCACTGGGACCACCATCATCTTGCCCCGCGTGGGTGTCTGACCAAAACCCTACGAACAGCTGAGGTTCGTAAGAGGGTGGACGAAGGGGTCACTCCCTGCCCTGACTGCTCAACCTGACTGGGCATCCAAGGTAGTGTATCTTCACAGGCCCACCGCAAGGCTGGAGTTCGGGACCTTTTACCCGAACAATGCTCGCCTAGAAGCCACCCAAACTCAGCGAGTGGGACGGAGAAAAATGGAAAAGAGGTGAAACGAAGGGTACTCCCTCAGGGGAAGTCCAGTGCCCCACCCCACCCCCAGTCAAAGCTCTTACTCCAGACTTCATCGACCCGCCTTTCCCCACTTCTTCTGGTCTTCCCCTGGCATATTCCAGCCCGTGCCTTAGAAACCGATCTAGTGCTCTGTTCTAGGTGTGTGCCCTCTGATCTCCAGGCGTGGAGAGCTGAGGTGGTGAGTAGAGAAAAGAGTCGCGACCCGCACAACAGAGGCAAGGCCTGGAGGTGCTAGGCAGGTACTCATTGAAGAGGCGCTTGCCTGGGCACCTAGCAGCCTGTGTCAAGCCGGATGCTCTTTGCCCCAGGCAGGTGGCCTTTTCCTAGAAAAAGTGCAAAATAGGAGACTCTGGCTGGACACACTTTTTTCAACAAACCCAAGGGGGACTTGGTGTCCTGATACTTGGATGGAACCTCGAGTCTTCTACTTTTGATTCCACCCCCCAGACTTAAAGGGGTGGGGTGGAGGGCTGGAACTGAGCATGAAGTGCTGGCCAGGAGGGCCCCATGCAGGGAACCCCTCAAGCCACAAACGCATGACCTATTTTTAAACCACTGAGTAACAGCGATTGGAGTCCTTAACAATTTCTTACCAAAAGAAAAAAAGAAAGAAAATAAAAAAACGTGAAGTCGTTTTTTGAACCCTCCAAATGATGTCTAGGCTAGGAGTGCAGGATCCTGAAAACCAACTTGGCCTTGGCTTCAGGATCTTGGTGCTTGTCCTCCTCCACCAGCTCCCCAATGCAGAAGTGCCCCCTTGTAGCTTTGCTTGCTATTGCCCTCAAAGACACGGGCCAGCAATCTCCTCCCTATCCTCATGGGAATCAGAATCACACTGAGATGTGTTCCTTCCCTCTTCAGCCGGAGGGAGGGTGGCTTCTCCATTTACCTCTGTCTCCTACATTCCACACAGCTTGTTGCCAATGGTCAAAACCTTCTGCATGTGGCAGCATGTTTGGAGAGGTGCCTTTGGTCTGGAATTTTCAACTCTGGTGGAAAATGGGCGACAGAAGGAAATTCTCACCAAATTAACTACCTTTTTAAAAAATCAATATATGTTCTCTCAATGTTATACTTGCTACTTCCCCATTACAACACAGTGCGACTGGGCTCGCGGCTGCTTCTGATCCTGAGTGGGATGGGGGACCTGGGCTAGGGGTGTGCTCTGCCTCTGACGTGGGTGCCTATCAAGTCGCAGGAGATTAGTTTCCAATTAAAGATTTCAGAAGGCTTTGGCTGCACCGCAGGAGCTACCAGCGCTGGAAGAGACGGCAGCAGATACCCACCAATAGGCAAGGCACAGTAAACCTAGGAGGCTGTCGCTCACAGGCCCATGGTTCCAAAGTGGGTAGCTGCTGGGCCACTCTAACACTGCAGGACTGGCAGGCGAGGAAGCCTCCAAACAGTACGGGGGAAATGGTCAGGCCTTCAGCACCCAGGACTTCGCCCCTTTACTGGTCATGTATTTGACCTAGAAAGTCCTGGAGGACCTGAGCCAGGGGGACTGGGTTCCACGTAGAGGCGGTGATGAGAAAGTCTCGCCCGATCCAACCTGGACTGTGTTTGCTGTTAGTGGCCTTGCGGCCTGGTTGATTGATAACTGGCCCCGCACAAGTCCATTTGCTTTTTGTTAATATTTACCTCGGCCAGTGACATTTCAACTGTCCCGTTGCCTCCCTGGGCCACGGGAGCCAGGCAGGAATGCAATGTTGGGCCCTAGGAACCGCACTTCCTCAGACCCTGGGCCAGGAGAAAAGACAGGACCGGATGTGAGTTCAAGGGAGCTGTAAGGGCATGGGCTCAAGAATGGGAGAAGGCGCCAAGGGACGGGTTTCCTTGTGCTCAGCCTCTCGGAGCAGCTGCTCCTAGCCTGCTGCGTGTGAACAAAGAGCCCAAGGGGCGCAACCGACCGTGTCCAGCTAGAAGCCTGGGGGAAAAGGTCTGGAATGACCTCCTTCCAGCATGGTCAGGGGATGGCCTGTTGTCAGAAGAAGACTGAGAGTCCCAGAGCCTGCCCAGGATGAATGTTGGCAATGAATTATGGATTCCATGGGGAAAATATCTCTCTCTCTCTCTCTCTCTCTCTCTCTCTCTCTCTCTCACACACACACACACACACACACACACCACTGAATTACAAAATCCAAAGGTCTTGGAGACAGTCACTAAAAGGCTCTGCAGCCTTTCTCAGCCTCTGTCTGCCCCCTTGAGGGTGTGTGAACTGTAAGGGGTCCCCTATAGTTCCCTCTGTGCAGTCCCCAGAGGAAATACATGCCCCATTGAAGGAGGGGTGTGCCCATAGGGTTAAGAAGACTTATTCAGGTGGTGAAGAGTGAAGCCTGTTAGTCTCACTGGAGTGGTCTAACCCTGCTTCTGAGGCTTGAGGAAACCTGGTGGCTATTGTTTGGGGACCTTGGTGTCAGTGCAGGGAGGATGCCCACAGAGACAAACCCCACAGCCTGATCAGAGGATGTCTGGTTCTGGCAGTAGGTGCAGCCCCGAGCTACTTGGAAGCCTCCAGAGAGCCATCCACATCCTAGATCAAAGGTCCAGGGCACCACAATCGCTTAAGACTCAGCCCGGACATCTTCACTTACAACTGATACTTGGGACCAACAGTACCAACAATAACACGGTTATGTTGTAGCAGCAAAGTGACCCAGAGCCCAAGATGTGTCTTTATTTTCAAGCTTTAAGTGCTCTGTGAGTCAAGCGGGTGCTGAACTGCTGGGCTCCCGGATTCCCTTCGTTTGGACTCACCTTCTCCGGGTTGCCAGACTGACTGAGCTGCGGAAGCTGCGCGCGCCCCCTGCGGGCCGCCGGGGCTAGACGCCCAGCAAGCGTCCGTTGTTTAGCCTGCTGAGAGGAAAGGGATGCTTGCTGAGTCTTTGTTTTTAGAACATCTCTGTCCTAGGGATTTTCAAACCGATAACTATTTCGATATGAACAGGGTGTGGAGGAGGAGGAAGGGGATATCAAATTAACCTCAACAATGCCTAGGGCTGCCCCATCCATGGAGACAAAATTTTCATCTTCCCAAAGAACACCCCAACTCTTCCCCAAACAGGCGCATGTTTGGATTT